CACATACGATCATCAAAGTCATTTGTGATGTCAACTTTGAAAACAAAGTAAAACTGAACGTACTGTAGAAAATGATCCTGTATAAGTACGGTCTTGCACTATCTACCGTACATTTAAACGTTGCTACGTGAACAATCGCATGATTCCTTGCGTAGATTTCATTGCACCTCATGAAGAGGCAAATGAGATGGCGCGATTTCTGCATGGCGCATAGAAATCCGCTTAAAACCAGGTGTTTCCGCATAATTTTACATGGGATCGTACGAGCTAGCGTATATTTACGGTTAACTTCATCTTGGCAGCGTAATTTTATAATAGAACACCATATGAGGCCTTACTGTCACACTATACAACGCAACCTGTATAGTGTGCGTACTTTATGTGAAAATGCAATGCAAATCCAGGATACTCATGGTCCGAAACGAAGGTTGGAAAGCAGGTCTTTCAACAAGATTGTCGAGTTGAGCTGCTCCGACTATGGACGACTTGGTCGCGAACAAACGTCGTACGCTAACAGCCCGTCGGCTTTTGCTGAAACTGGCTGACGTTAGCTCGCTTGTTGCTGCCGAGACGGCATTTCCGACTCCGTTTTGCAGGTGAAAATGCTAGTACTCTCGTGATCCAGTTCTTATTGCAGCTCTCGGGTCAACACAGTAGTTCTATGTCCATTCGAATTGTGTCTTGATATACTTCGACATGTATACGGGTAGTGGACGTTGTCCGCACGCGTGCAGCCATATCAAATTGCTCTCGCAGCATCCCAGCAGTCAACTGGTCGACCACTGCTCCTGAGGATCTGCCACGCCAGCCTGTGATTGGCTTTGAAACGGGTACACCTTGCGTTTCATTGGCTGATCCAGCTTCAAGTCACGGTTGCGGTCGGCGGCGTCCGAGCCTCGCTGCCGCGCCGCCGCAGCCACAGCCGCCGACGACGGCCAGGACACGGTAGCGCACCTTGCAAAGGTCGTCGAATTGGCCGCTACAAATCACTGGCGGCGTTCCTGCGTTCCTGTGACGTGAGCTGGAAGGAAGCGAGCTGGCCAATCAATGCGGCGCCGGCCTGTAAGTCACGCCCATCAGTTGGCATCGAAACAGTCGCCGAATCTCCTCGTAGCCGCAACATGACCACTTCGCGCACGGGCCGGCGCAGCGCGAGCAACGGCGCGCTGCACGCGTCCTTCTTGGAGCACGAGCACTTGCCGCCGATGCCCGAGGCGGCGCCGCTCGAGATCCGCATCGACGAGTCGCCTACCGTTGACGAAGCGTGGTCGTCGCCGGCGCACTCCAAGCTCACAATCGAAGACGCGCAGCAGCTCGAGTGGGACCACGGGGCCGAGGTCGCAAGCGCGGTGGGCACCAAGGTGTCCGGTCGCCAGAGCTCCGAGTTTGGCGACGCCGAGGCCGACCTGAAGGAGGACCTCCACATCCTCCTCGACCCGTACTACGACGTGACGACCGGCCGCATGAAGCGCATGTTTAAGTTCTTCTCGCCCAAAGGTAGATGCTTCTCGACACGATTCCTGGCATCTCATGCGAGCTATTAGGTCAAGAGACGGTGACGTACGACCAGTTCCACAAAGGCCTTCTCGCCCTTGGCATCTCGTGCCCGGAGCATGTCGACTTGACCAAGCTCATCAAGAAGGTCGACACGGACCATGACGGAGCGATTTCGCTCGGCGAGTTTATTCACGTCGTGCAGATGATCAAGCTTGCGCACCTCTTCAAGCCCGACGTGTGCGCCAAGGACGAGACACCGTCGGCGACCTTCCATGTGACCGACTACTCGCCCGAGACCATCTACACCGTGTCGCACGTCCAGAACCTCAAGAGCTTCTTCTTCTCGTCCAAGCCGAACTGGGCCAAGGTGCGCTGGGTGCACCTCGCGGGCGTGAGCGATCTCAACGACATTCACTTGCGCCGCCTCGCGATCAAGTACCAGTTCCACCCGCTCGCGCTCGAGGACGCGCTCAAGAAGAGCGACAAGATCCGCTGCAAGTACGAGCACTACCAAGACCACACGTTCCTCGTACGTGCCTCTCTCTTCTCCATGGTCCTAGCGTCTTCTTCCTAAACGAATCGATCGATGTAGGTCGTCCCGGTGCTTCGAGCGTTCGACGAGAGCACGGCCGACTTCCTCGTCGACTGCGTCAAGAAGCACCAAGCAACGCTGTTTGAGAAGGACCTGGCGTTCGTCGATGGCTGGCGCACGTCGTCGCCGCCCAATGTCGACGACCTCACCGCCACGCTCGCCAAGCTCGAGCGCCTCCTCCGCAAGCCGCAGCAGCTCTGCGTCTTTGTCAACGCCAAGAACGACGTGGTCTCGATCCAAGAGGACAACGATGCCGATAAGATCGGCGGCTTCCACCTCTGGGAGTCGATTTACGAACGCAACATGGCCAAGAGCTACTCCAAGCTGCGCAACCACGGCCCGCAGTTTCTGACTGTCGCGATTCTCAACGCGGTCGTCGACGAAATTTTGCCGCTCGTCGAGGTCTTTGACGTGGTGGTGAGCGCCCTCGAGCAGCTCCAGGTCGCGCAAGGCCGGGACTTTGATTCGAAGCGCATTTTCCTCGCCAAGAAGCAACTCGTCGTCATCGAGAAGATCGTGCGCCCGATGCTCGACCTCGTCGAGGGCCAGCTCCTCGACCAAGACGAGTTCCGCGACGTACACTATTTATGAAGCAATGTCGCGTATCGAACGAGATGTATGGACTAGGGCGAGGTCAAAAATTACATTCGGGACGTCAAGGACCACCTCAAGCACATGGCGACTGAGATCAAGGAGTTTCAAGGTGCGCTCAACGTCGTCTTCAACGAGGACCAGCAAGCGCGCGCAAAGGCGCAGGCCGACATTCAGTTTACCATGTCGATCGTCGCGGCGGTCTTCCTGCCCGCGACGTTCCTCACGGGTCTCTACGGCATGAACTTTGACAACATGCCCGAACTGCACACGGAGAACGGGTACTTTGTCTGGTGGGGCGTCCTCGGCGCGATCTCGCTCGGGATCATCTCCTACTTCAAGTTGTACAAGCAGTGGATCTAATAGAAGAAGAAGAAAAGAAAACTGTGCTAAGCACCGCTAGTACCCAAGTCGTGGTGTGTTAAGTGTGTTGCGCGAACGATTGGCGATTCGCGCTCATGCTGTGTTGAGTTGATACATTGATACATGAACGGCTTTGTTAATACAGACTTTGCACACGAAGCGACCAGCAACCTTCTTCTTCAGTCGCTCGGGCATGGCGGCGCGCGGCGCATGGACAGGTGGATATGACGTTCATTCATTAATTGTTTAATCGGTTGCAGTTGCATGTCAACTGCGCCGGTCACAGCAACGCTAGGTTTAGGGTCCATCGGCGGACGCCCTCGCCAACCGACCGGTTGAGACAAAGGTTTGAGCAACTGACAAGACCGTGGCAACGATGCATGGCAGGATTGCTACGCACCAAGCAAGCCATTATGCAGGCGCTCTGTGTACCAGTCTCATTGCACGGCTGCCAATGGCACACCACGTTGGTTCATCACTGTATTAGCCTCCGTCGCCACCCAGAGCCCAGAGCGTTGCAGGGAGAAGAGAGCCATCGTGGAGGCGGATGGAGGAAAGCGTCCAGAGGATGTGGAAGCACCGAGGGTATAAGTAGTAGGCGTCTAGGACTAAGCAAAGGGGTCGGGGACGATCTCGGCGAGCTTGGCAAGGGCCGTGGCTTGCAGCGCGCAGAGCGCCTTGTGCTCTTCAATCGACTGCTGCAGCTCGGTCGCAATGTCCACCACCTGCGCGTCATCTCTCGTCAAGTGTACCAAATCGAGATCGAAACGATAATACCATGGCGTGGTTGATGTTGCACTTGTCGAGCATGTCGTGGCCGTCGTACGCTGCGTCCACGAGTGTGAGGAAGAGCACGGCGTGCGCAATCATAAATGGCGGGTGGAGCATGATGAGGTGAGTCCGGTACGTATACAGCGTGAGGTCCCTACATCGAATAGTCCTTTCGTTTGTAGACGGATGAAAGTCTACCATGCCATCTTGAAGCTGTGCTCGTCCATGGGAAATTCGACCTCAAACTCATCGTAGAGCCTACGACTATGGTCGCATCCGTTTGGTAGAGATGACGCAGGCGTACTTGATGAGCGTCGGGAAAGGGTGGTGCATGATCATGTCGTACTGCATTGCCTCGATGACGAAGAATTCGCACTCGATAATGTCCTTTTCGGTAAACTCAAAGAAGGTTTCGCGGTCTTCCGTGTACGCTAGAGAGAGGTAGGCGATGACAACTCGTCGGTGGTCGATGACGTACGGGTCGTCAGCTCGTGGAGGGTCGTAGTGATGTCTGAGAGCCGGGCTTGGCACTCTTCGACCTTGGACGAGATGAAGAGCGCCGTCCCACACACAAGGCGCGGATCAAAGTCGCAAAAGCTCTGCCTGCACGCATACATGAGGCCATACAGGCGTCGTTGCAGGTCGTACGTGAGGTAGAACCGGCGGTAGATCAAGATGGCTGTGCAGATGATGATCTGGTTGATGTGCAGGCGCGCGCCGAGCTCTTCCATGACTACATCGAGTATTGCATGAGCGCCATGCGCATGACGGTTGGCGTACGCGAGATCATGGCCAAGTGGATGCTCTCGACCTCGCTAATCTCGAGCGACGTGTCCTTCGGGTTGATGCGCTTGAGGTCTTCAAGCCGCAGCGCCTTCATCCAGTGCAGGCTAGAAGTAGCCCATGAGCCTCATGCAGCGCTAGCATCCGTGGCCTACTAGTGCGATGACTGCCAGAAGTTGAGCGCCATGCGTCTCCGTCGTCCTCGGTGCTGGACCCGCGGCTTACCAACAACAAACCGCTGACCTCCCACTATCCGGACAAGAACGTCCGAGCACGTCTCTCCTAAACGACATACAAACACACTGCTATTTTGAATCCGTAAACCGGATGTCCTTGCCGACATAGAACCGCCAAGAGACGATCTTTTGCCAGACAGCCGACAAGCAAGATGGCCGAGGAAGCAGCGATGGCCGGCCTCGCCCTGCACGCGCGCCCCGAGGGACCTGAGAAGGGTACACGCTGCTTCCATAGCACTCCTACAACAGCACGCTGGCGTAGTCACGATCCAGTTCACAGCCGTTGGCGGTGCACCCATCATGAAGCGCAGCAAGTTCACGGTCAACGGCGCCGATCCGCTGGGCGTCGTACGACTCATGATGTACCAAGCGAAGGCCAACGAATCATGCGTCTATGGCGAGTAGGTCTACTCGTTCCTCCGCAAGCAGCTGCGTCTCAAGGACGAAGATGCGCTTGTACGCATGCGATGCCAACCCAGGGCTCCTCATGCATCTCGTGTCATGTAGTTTGTCTATTGCAACGCGTCGTTTGCGCCGACGCCAGATCAAAAGCTCAGCGAATTGCACGAGGTCGTCCTTGTTCTATGTCGAGGTCACTGACGTCATATCTAGTGCTTTCATGTCAATGGGACCCTCGTCCTCAACTACAGCCGCACGCAAGCCTGGGGCTAATGCTCGCAATGTCTAAATGTACATCCGCCACTGTGTATTCCCTAATAAAGTCATAATTTGTAAACGAGGCTCTCAACTCTCGCTTCATGGTGCAGATACGCCAATCACAGTCTCCTTCGACGCATACAGGCAACGCGAGCGAGAAGGAAGACATTGTGTTTCGTGCGTCCGAAGCTACCTACAGTACAGTAGTGTATGCTCGTCGCCTTTGTATTTGCTTTGCTCGCATCCCAGGTCCCAGGTTTGCCATTTCATAAGTTGCAGCCTGATCTTGTGAACAAAACGACTTGGTTGAAAGTTCTACATCACCCATGTCAATACCTATGCATTAATGCATCGACGTCAACGCGTCTACGAGCTATCCCGCATGAGCGCCTCGACCTGCGCCCGGGCGGCGCGGTGCTTGAGCTGCAGCTGCTGCAGTTCCGACTCGATCGGAACATTGGGCTCCAACGGCGGCGTCCGACGCGGCGACGCGCGGTGCTCGTTCTTGACGGGCTTGGGGCTCGGGGCTTTCTTCATGACCAGCTTGGGCTTGGGCACCTTGTCCTTTGCAAACGCGAGGGCCTTGTCCCGTGTTGACAGCGTCTTCTCTGGTGCAGCTGTCTCAACAACATCGCGCTTTTTGAGCGTCGTCTGGTTGATCGCGCGAAGGTTCTTGGAAAACTCTTTTATGCGCTCCTTGTTGGCGCGCTTCTCGACCAAGTCGTCAGCGTTCAAGTCGGGCTTGAGCTTCCCGAGCTCGTAGTAACCCGCATGTTTTTCTTGCTTGTACTCGGAGAGCGTGCAAGGCTCGTACTGAACTGGCCGCGCCTTCTTGGAAAACGCGAGCTGGTCATGCTCGGTCACCGCGCGCTGCTCGTTGAGCTCTGTTGGGCTCGGCTTCTCGGCCTTGGCGAGCTTGGTCGCTCGCTTGGGCGGCGACGCCTGTGGCTTGGGCGACCGCTTCGAAGGCGCGACGTCCACCGGTTCGTATGTGTCATCATCTTCATTGCCTTCAATGTTGTTGGGCTTGGAGACGTCGGGTTTGGTTCCAAGGTACGGCTCGTGGAGGCTCGCGTTGTTGGAGACGCCGACTGATGGCCGCGGTGCGAGGGCCGACGGCGCCTGCGGCTTCTTGCGGAGCGGACCGCTGCGCACCTCTTCGCTGCCGTCGGACCGCTTGAGCGTCCCGTGCATCGTCACGGTCGAGATCTTATCGCCAAAGCGCTCGAGGAAGCTCATGACACGCAAACGGCAATCTGGCATCCCGGCGGCATGACCATCTAAAAATAGATTCGGGGTTATCCGGATGATGTCTCTGGTGCACCATGACAAGGGTCAATACACTAATGACCCTTGACCATGACTTGCTGCTTCCAACATCCACGGCAGTCGCAGGCCTTTTTGATCCATAGACAGTGCTGAATACAGTGCAGCCTTGTGGCAGAATCCCGCTGGCCTGTCACCACAAATCCGGATACCAACAAGAGCCGAAAGATCGCCGACGATCTGGACGGTGAGCGCATTAACCAAGCGATTGAGACTCTGGACTTGGATGATGTGGAGACTGCCCTCACGTCATTGACAACGACTGGCGCGTACGGTTAAGCGTTCCGGATGCCCGCAGCTCGCCCTTCGTGAGACTCAAAGTCGCGTTGACTTTTTGGCCGATTTGCTCAACGTTGAAAGTCACCGAAGCGAACGTCTCGTTTCAGCAGCCAATCAGATCGCACCATTTCAAAAATGAAAGTGAAAGAGGAGCAAAAAAAGGAGCTTCGAAAGTTCTCTATTACAATATATTGATGTTGTGCAATATGACGTGGCATCAGCACATACGAGTGCACATTCCATCAACACGCTGCAACAAACAGCTCCCATTTTGAAGGGGTTACATTGCTACCACAACTTTCACTGTGAGGTCGACTTACGCTACCCACTTGAGTTGGTACGAGAGGTTGATACGCTGACGCCCAAGGGACTGAGGCCAAGCGACTGGTATTCTGGAGGCGTTGGCTGCTTCAAGTTTTCACACATACGTTCACAATACTATTAAAGCCCTTATGCCATCACCGTACAGAGCGATCATATGCGTCGGAGAATCATAAGCTGGCCCAATCATCCCTCACGCATTGTGGCATCAAAGATGACGCACGACACCCACTCGTTCACAAGGCCTTCTTATTGTCCAATGTTTAGCCAAAAATTAGTCTTGGTACGTTGGCGATTTGCGCATGGCGATGGCCGTCATGGCCTCGGTCAAGTCGGCGCTATGAAGCATCGCGGCGTTCCACAGCCGAACTTGGTCGAGCGCGTCTTGGGTCGAGTGGTCGCGCTGGTACTGAATCGCAGTTTTGACACCTCGGACTGTGAGTGGACTCTTGCTTGCGATCGTCGCTGCAAGCACCGTCGCGTGTTCAAAGAGTAGAGTCGAATCTGCGTAGCTCTTGAGAACGAGGCCCATGGACTCGGCCTCGACACCACAGAAAGCTCGGCCCGTGTACGCAAGCTCCTTGGCCCGCTGCTCGCCGACAAGTTTGGGCAGTCGCTGGAGCGTACCGACGTCGGCCACGATCGCAAGGTCGACCTCCTTGACGCTAAACTCGGCGCTCGCATCGCAGAGGCGAATGTCGCAGGCCGTAACAAAGTCGACGGCTCCGCCGATGCAGCTACCATGGACGGCGGCAATGACAGGCACGCGGCAGCGCTCGGGCGCCGAGATGATGCGCTGGAAGCGATCAACGATGCGGAGAAGCGCCTCGCGCTTCCGGCCGTCGCAGTCAAACGACGTCATGAGCTCTTGCATGGCAGCAAAGACGCCGAGGTCCATGCCCGATGAGAAGCCCCGGCCCTCGCCGCGGACGACAACCGCACGCACCTCGGGCGTGTGCTCGATGGCCGCAAACAGCATCTCGAGCTCGTGCCACATTTGCATGTCGAACGCGTTGAGCTTTGTGGGGCGGTGCAGCCGGACGTACAGAACTCCGTTTTGGACACCGGCGTTGCCACTGGTGCTTGGGCCATCATGAAGCGATGATGTGATCGCTAGCGTCTCAAACGTGAGCTCGTGGAGCTTGGGCGATGATGTCACCGGCTGAAGCCACTCGCGCAGGAGCGCGAGGCGGTGCATCGGTGTCGACGGCGGCATCGCCAAGCTGTGAAGCGCGACCCAACGATCAGAGTTGGTCATATCCGGATGTCCGGATAGATTGGAAGTGCAATCTGGGCCGCTTCAATGGCGACGATCTCTCTTGGCACGAGACCATTCTTGTACTCACCATTGTAGTCATAAGAGGATCTAGTCGGTCGTCAATAGGTCCCAACCACAGTGTTGCCCTCTCGCTACAGGTTGAAACCTACGGGATTTAATTCACGTGTTCGCAGCCAGTATAGGGTTGTTGAATGGCGCACAACATACTGATACTGGTAGCTCAAGTCGCCAAGTAAATAGGTGGTATCGCCTTGGTTGGACGCCGAAAGCTGGCCCTACGCTCCTGCTCCTCCTCTAAAGATGTACATAATGTCATCATCATCTGCGCTCGTACACAAGTTGGCGACTTTCTCAAGGCGGTTTGGTGAGGCAGCCGGAAACCGTATCCGGATACGACCAGCTAAATCCGAATGTAGGTTTTAACGTTGCTTTTGTATCGCCTCGGGAGCGGCTGGTTTCCTTCTTCGTTGCCATTTCCGTGAGATCGAAGCGAGGAGGAGCATGTACCAGTACCAGTCGGTGGACCAGCAGGAGCCGATGCTCGCCGGCGACAAGCGCGGTGGCCCGACCGGCCCCGTCCAGTCGATGCGGCGCGAGGCGGTGACGGCCAAGTGCAACGATGGCATCTTCGCGCTTCTCTTCATCGGCCATCTCGTCGCGATTGCCTACTTTGCGGTAGGCAGCATTCGCATCCTGGCCGAGGCTCATGGCTGCGGCGATGTAGTTTACCAAGGGCCTCGACTTTATCAACCAGTACGAGAAGGACCACCCGGCGCCCGAGGCGCAAAAGGGCCTTGGCGTCGTGCTCGGCGTCAGCGGCGGCCTCATTGGCGTCTCGGTCCTCTTCTCGGCGATCTGGATGAAGCTGCTCATGGCCTTTGCCGAGCACATGATCAAGTTTGCTCTCTGGACGAACGTCGGCTTGCTCTTTGGTTTTGCCGTCGCCACGCTGTTTGTGAATCCGATCATGCCCTTTGTCTTTCTCTTCCTTGCGGCCATCAACATTTGGTATACCCTCTTCGCACCATATGTCTATGCTCATGCGATCCTCGTATTTGTAGCTACATTTACGCGGTGCAGAACCGCATCGGGTTTGCGTCAGCCAACCTCAAGATTGCGTGCTCGGCGCTGAACGAGTACATTTCAATCTTTGGCGTCGCGATCTTCCTCCTCGTCATCCAAGTCATCTGGGTGGCGGTCTGGGGCCTCAGTACAGTCGGCGTCTACCAGATGTTCCGCACCGCGGACCCGCACTGCGCCGACGAGGAGGCCCGTGGCCGGGCCTGCGGCGGCTCGGGCTTTGGTGTCACCATGTTCTTCCTCCTCGTGAGCGTCTTTTGGGGCCAGCAGGTCGTCCAGAACGTGCTCACGACGACGACAGCGGGCACGGTCGCGTCCTGGTGGTACCACTCGTCGCCCACGAGCGGCGTCGGCGGCGCGCTCTACCGCTCGATGACGTCGTCGTTTGGGTCGATCTGCTTTGGCTCGCTCATCGTCGCCGTCCTCTCGGCCATGCGCACGGTACTGTTGCATCTTTTTCGCTGTTTTTTTTATGCGATTTTTCATGCATTTTTTGTGAATTTGGGTCCATTTTGCGCTTTTTTTTAACTATTTGACGCAGAATGCTCATGCCATCTCGTATGAAATAGATGGCGCGAGTGATCCGCAACCAAGCGCAGCAGGACGACAACGCAGCGCTGGCCTGCGTCGCGTGCCTCGCCGAGTGTGTTCTCAACTGCATTGAGAACATTATGGAGTACTTCAACCAGTGGGCGTACACGTACGTGGGCATCTACGGCTTTGACTTTCGCACGAGCGGGAAGGCGGTCATTGACCTCTTCAACAACCGCGGCTGGACCGCTGTCATCAATGACGACCTCGCGTCGACGGCGCTTACGATTGGTGCGTTTGGCGTCGGCATTCTCTCGTGCTGCCTCGGGCTTCTTGTCGCGCAGTTTGCGCCCATCCATTGGCAGAGCCAGCTCGGTGCCAACATGGACCAGACAACTGTCTTTGGTGCGTTGATCTCTATTGTCTGCTGGACCATGGACAATATGTGTTTGTTTCGTAGTCATTTTTGGCACGATTGGCTTCATTTCCGGCGTGAGCATGGCCATGATCCTCGCCAACCTCGTCATCACGGCGCTTCACACGATTTTCGTGTGCTTTGCCGAGGTACGGCATTTTGCGAGTCGAAGAATAGTGTTGATGTTTTGTGCGGTGTAGGACCCGATGTCGTTCCAGCGCGCGCACCCGGAGCACTACAGCGAGCTCGTCATGGCGTGGCGTCACTTCCAACCGGATGCGCTCGTGACGGCGTATGGCTCGTACGTCTAAGCGCCACGACGGCGGCTGCATGCATCCCGCCATTTTCGTGGGCAAAGAATACACGATTCATGCATCTTGATGGCATATGCTGTGTTGCGATGCGACGGAGAGGAAGAGACAAGGGTCCATGGACAGGGAGTCGGAATGATCCTGGGAGCCAACAATGAGTCTCGGAGTGCAGTATCAAAGGACTGCTGCTACCCGACAACCAGAGTGGAGGCACGTTGATCCGGCAGTGCCAAGAGGCGATGATAATCCATCGACACGCGTACCAGCCGTGATCGACGAGGGCTGGGGCCAAGGGTGAAGCCATCAAACTCGTTGTTGGTCAAAGAGCTTGACCTCATGCAGGGCACGTAGCGGATGCCTGGAAAGCGACCGTACGGAACGACCTTGCGGTTCGTGCTTCGCCAGCCATCATTGATGCCAATCTCGACCTTGGGCGTATGGAACTCGGTCCAGCAAAGTTGAGCCGGCTTCATGGCCCCAATGTCGATCGCGTGACCGTAGCTGGAGTCGGGTACGAGCAGCTGCCGCTAGTCTGTGGGTCGTGTCGACGTACGCGTCGCGGCGCGCCCGGAAGACTCGATGCTCCGTCCCCGTGACCTCCGGCATCGTGGCCTCTATCATCGCGTAGTCGATGCCATCCGCGATAATGGCGTGAAGTCGACTACTCATCTCGATGAGGTAAATCGAGTCGTCTCGAAGCTCGAAGTGGCGCATTCATTCCTTGTTCTTCCGACTCGACGCTCATCGAGAAGTTGCCGTCGATCCAACATGGCGAGCACGGCGACATCAACGACAAATGGAAGACGACCGACCACGGCGGTGCGCAGAGCATGCAGCTCAACGACCAAACGACGGACGACGAGCCGACGGGCAACTTGTTTGAGCGCGCGCTCAACAAGCAGGGCGGGCATGGTCGGGGTGC